TTATTATTTTATTCGATATGCCGAAAATTATACAAGTCCGCGAGAAGGTTATTAGATTATCCGATATTTCGTAAATATGTCAAGTTCACGAGAAGGTTACTAGTTTATCCGATATGCCGAAATATAATATACAAGTCCGCGAGGTTATTAGTTTATCCGATATGCCGAAAAATATACAAGTCCACGAGAAGGTTATTAGTTTATCCGATATGCCGAAAAATATACAAGTCCACGAGAAGGTTATTAGTTTATCCGATATGCCGTAAAATATACAAGTCCACGAGAAGGTTATTAGTTTATTCGATATGCCGAAAAATATACAAGTCCACGAAAAGGTTATTAGTTTATCCGATATGCCGAAAATTATACAAGTCCGCGAGTAGGTTATTAGTTTATCCGATATGTCGAAAATTATACAAGTCCGCGCGAGGGTTATTAGTTTATTCGTTTAGTCGAAAATTATACAAGTTCACGAGAAGGTTACTAGTTTATCCGATATGCCGAAATATAATATACAAGTCCGCGAGGTTATTAGTTTATCCGATATGCCGAAAAATATACAAGTCCACGAAAAGGTTATTAGTTTATCCGATATGCCGAAAATTATACAAGTCCGCGAGAAGGTTATTAGTTTATCCGATATGCCGAAAAATATACAAGTCCACGAAAAGGTTATTAGTTTATCCGATATGCCGAAAATTATACAAGTCCGCGAGAGGGTTATTAGTTTATCCGATATTTCGTAAATATATCAAGTCCACGAGAAGGTTATTAGTTTATCCGATATGCCGAAAATTATACAAGTCCGCGAGAAGGTTATTAGATTATCCGATATTTCGTAAATATGTCAAGTTCACGAGAATGTTATTAGTTTATTCGTTTAGCCGAAAATTATACAAGTCCGCGAGAGGGTTATTAGTTTATTCGTTTAGCCGAAAATTATACAAGTCCGCGAGAGGGTTATTAGTTTATTCGTTTAGCCGAAAATTATACAAGTCCACGAGAAGGTTATTAGTTTATCCGATATTTCGTAAATATATCAAGTCCACGAGAAGGTTATTAGTTTATTCCATACGCCGAAAATTATACAAGTCCACGAGAAGGTTATTAGTTTATCCGATATGCCGAAAATTATACAAGTCCACGAGAAGGTTATTAGTTTATTCGATATGCCGAAAATTATACAAGTCCGCGAGGTTATTAGTTTATCCGATATGCCGAAAAATATACAAGTCCACGAGAAGGTTATTAGTTTATCCGATATGCCGAAAATTATACAAGTCCACGAGAAGGTTATTAGTTTATCCGATATGCCGAAAAATATACAAGTCCGCGAGAGGGTTATTAGTTTATCCGATATGCCGAAAATTATACAAGTCCACGAGAAGGTTATTAGTTTATCCGATATGCCGAAAAATATACAAGTCCGCGAGAAGGTTATTAGTTTATCCGATATGCCGAAAAATATACAAGTTCACGAGAGGGTTATTAGTTTATCCGATATTTCGTAAATATATCAAGTCCACGAGAAGGTTATTAGTTTATCCGATATGCCGAAAAATATACAAGTCCGCGAGAAGGTTATTAGTTTATTCGTTTAGCCGAAAATTATACAAGTCCGCGAGAGGGTTATTAGTTTATCCGATATTTCGTAAATATATCAAGTCCACGAGAAGGTTATTAGTTTATTCGTTTAGCCGAAAATTATACAAGTCCGCGAGAAGGTTATTAGTTTATCCGATATTTCGTAAATATATCAAGTTCACGAGAAGGTTATTAGTTTATTCGTTTAGCCGAAAATTATACAAGTCCGCGAGAGGGTGATTAGTTTATTCGTTTAGCCGAAAATTATACAAGTCCGCGAGAAGGTTATTAGTTTATCCGATATGCCGAAAAATATACAAGTCCACGAGAAGGTTATTAGTTTATCCGATATGCCGAAAAATATACAAGTCCGCGAGAAGGTTATTAGTTTATTCGTTTAGCCGAAAATTATACAAGTCCGCGAGAGGGTTATTAGTTTATCCGATATTTCGTAAATATATCAAGTCCACGAGAAGGTTATTAGTTTATCCGATATGCCGAAAATTATACAAGTCCGCGAGAAGGTTATTAGATTATCCGATATTTCGTAAATATGTCAAGTTCACGAGAAGGTTATTAGTTTATTCGTTTAGCCGAAAATTATACAAGTCCGCGAGAGGGTTATTAGTTTATTCGTTTAGCCGAAAATTATACAAGTCCGCGAGAGGGTTATTAGTTTATTCGTTTAGCCGAAAATTATACAAGTCCACGAGAAGGTTATTAGTTTATCCGATATGCCGAAAATTATACAAGTCCGCGAGAAGGTTATTAGTTTATCCGATATGCCGAAAATTATACAAGTCCGCGAGAGGGTTATTAGTTTATCCGATATTTCGTAAATATATCAAGTCCACGAGAAGGTTATTAGTTTATTCCATACGCCGAAAATTATACAAGTCCACGAGAAGGTTATTAGTTTATCCGATATGCCGAAAATTATACAAGTCCACGAGAAGGTTATTAGTTTATTCGATATGCCGAAAATTATACAAGTCCGCGAGGTTATTAGTTTATCCGATATGCCGAAAAATATACAAGTCCACGAGAAGGTTATTAGTTTATCCGATATGCCGAAAAATATACAAGTTCACGAGAAGGTTATTAGTTTATTCGTTTAGCCGAAAATTATACAAGTCCGCGAGAGGGTTATTAGTTTATTCGTTTAGCCGAAAATTATACAAGTCCGCGAGAGGGTTATTAGTTTATTCGTTTAGACGAAAATTATACAAGTCCGCGAGAGGGTTATTAGTTTATTCGTTTAGCCGAAAATTATACAAGTCCACGAGAAGGTTATTAGTTTATTCGATATGCCGAAAATTATACAAGTCCACGAGAAGGTTATTAGTTTATTCGTTTAGCCGAAAAATATACAAGTCCACGAGAAGGTTATTAGTTTATCCGATATGCCGAAAATTATACAAGTCCACGAGAAGGTTATTAGTTTATCCGATATGCCGAAAATTATACAAGTCCACGAGAAGGTTATTAGTTTATTCGATATGCCGAAAATTATACAAGTCCGCGAGGTTATTAGTTTATCCGATATGCCGAAAAATATACAAGTCCACGAGAAGGTTATTAGTTTATCCGATATGCCGAAAATTATACAAGTCCGCGAGGTTATTAGTTTATCCGATATGCCGAAAAATATACAAGTCCACGAGAAGGTTATTAGTTTATTCGTTTAGCCGAAAATTATACAAGTCCGCGAGAGGGTTATTAGTTTATTCGTTTAGCCGAAAATTATACAAGTCCACGAGAAGGTTATTAGTTTATCCGATATGCCGAAAAATATACAAGTCCACGAGAAGGTTATTAGTTTATTCGTTTAGCCGAAAAATATACAAGTCCACGAGAAGGTTATTAGTTTATCCGATATGCCGAAAATTATACAAGTCCACGAGAAGGTTATTAGTTTATCCGATATGCCGAAAATTATACAAGTCCACGAGAAGGTTATTAGTTTATTCGATATGCCGAAAATTATACAAGTCCGCGAGGTTATTAGTTTATCCGATATGCCGAAAAATATACAAGTCCACGAGAAGGTTATTAGTTTATCCGATATGCCGAAAATTATACAAGTCCGCGAGGTTATTAGTTTATCCGATATGCCGAAAATTATACAAGTCCACGAGAAGGTTATTAGTTTATCTGATATTTCGGAAATATTACAAGTCCACGAGAAGGTTATTTGTTTATCTGAAGTCCGCAAAAGGTTATTGGATTATTCAGTCATGGAAATTTTTACAAGTCCTAAAAAGGTTATTATTATTGAATAACCTTAAACGAGCGGTAAAAATGAAACACCGATTTACATCCTTATTTTTGGCTAAAAAACAGTTTCCACTTGGTCCCGTCTCGATTCCGCGCTTTCCCTCGATTTTCACTGATTCCATATATATAAACCCAATAACCAAGTGGTGTTGTTGGCTTGTTGGGTTATTGGGTTATAAAAAGTCAAATTTGTGTTATTAAAGCTGATCACGGAACATTCGGTAATGGAAATTTCGAAAATTTCGAAAAAGGTTATTGGTTTATTCGAACACCGGAATTTGGACAAGTCCCAAAAAGGTTATTGGTTTATTAGGTTATTATTGAATAACCTTAAACGAGCGGTAAAAATGAAACACCGATTTACATCCTTATTTTTGGCTAAAAAACAGTTTCCACTTGGTCCCGTCTCGATTCCGCGCTTTCCCTCGATTTTCACCGATTCCATATATATAAACCCAATCGTCTTTTGGGTACGGTTTAAAGGGTTATTTGGGTTATTTGGGTTATTTGGGTTAATAGAATGTTGAAGTAATAGGGTTATTTGGGTTATTGGGTTATTGGGTTACTAGAATATTGAATTTACTTGGGTTATTGGGTTATTTTTTAGTTTTCCTCCAGAAATACACGCTTTTCCGGAAGATTTAAAAGTTTTCCGAGTAAATATACAGTTTTCCGAATGAATTTTGAGTTTTCCGAGAGAATTTAAAGTTTTCCAAATAGATTTCAAGTTTCCAGAGTTCATTTCTCCGTTTTCCAGGCAAAATTCCACAAAAAATAAGTTTTCCAACCCAATAACCCAATAACCCAAATAACCCAAATTCTACAAGATACGCTGGAGCACTTGAGTGATTTGGCCTGAGTGATCAGGCCTATCAGAGTGATCAGGGTGATCGGCCAAATAGGGCCCTCACAAGTCCCCCCTCTGCTTTTTTTCCGGGCTTGGGACCGGCATAATTCGTCATTATGGCAGCATTAGGGATTGCGCGGAAATACCTGGTTTCCAATTACTAGTTCGAGGTATTTTCGCGCTTTTGGGCCACTCGAGAAAAAAATATACATTTTTGAAAAAACTGCTTTTTAATCAATTTTAGGGGAAAAATTAACTTATACATCAATTTATATATACACACAGGACATAACTACTGCCACAGACAGTGGAATAACTTCGCATCATCTACTGACAAAGCATACTTTGCCATCAAAGTCGCTACTGGCAATCTGCAGATACTTTTGGCCTTATGCCCGAATGCCTTAGCCGAACGAGAAAAACCTGCTTCTCTCATGTACTCCTGGGCATTCAACCAAATTTTCTGCATTTTGCAGTTATCTTTGATTTTCGCAAGAGTGCTCCTATCGGAAACCAGACAGTGCAACAACACTTTTTCTTCCTCATGTCTCCATTGTCGCGATGGTTTTTGGACATCTTCCCCATCATTTTCAGCTTCCACGTCCGGTATCTCGATTGTTGGATCTCCGTCTAAGTAACAAATATAGTAACGATTGCAACAACAACCTTTAGCAATCGAATAGAGGTGTAAACTTAGTTCATTTATTACCGTCCCAATCGCTATCTGAATATACCATGTCTTCCCACGTTGGCACGTTAAGTGATGCTTCAGGAGAAGCAACACCGACTGTTTTTAGCCCGCTTGTTCCTGGCGCTCGAGAGCTGCTTCGTTTGTCCACATCCAAGGTCACAGATTGTGGATCGTCATCTGTAGTTGGAATGTATTGTTATGATGACAATCTCGAATGATATTGATTAAATCCGTAAAACCATTGAAACAACGAGATTGAAATAACGAGGATTCTTACCGTCAGATTCGGTATCGGATGCCTTTTCATCATGTCCAGTGTCGTCAACTGCAGCTGGCGATGCATCTGGTATAGCAGTGGAATCGAGAGACTTTGCAGCATCAAATGCAGAAGCAGGCAATCGAACCAGTAAAACGACTGGCGACAGATCTGGTGCTGGAGCATTGAATCGACCATCGTTGGTGTCAACAGCAGCTGGCAATTGATCAACCTCCTGTTGATCGTCAACAGCTGCTGGCAATTGATCGATCTCTTGTTGATCTTGAACATTTGCATGTTGTTCAAGCACCTGTTGTTCTCGATCAACAAAGGGTTCATCGACAATCTCAGCAGTAGCAAGTTGCTCAACACCAGGAGGAGGATCGATTGCTGCAGGTTGAACACCGATAGCTTGACCAACGACTGCTGCCGGAGCATTTGGCACTGAAATAATTATATGTTTTATAGCACGTGAGATCGTGTGGAATTATTAAATAAGTAAATATGTATATACATGTAAGATCGTCGATCATCTGGACTTGCCGAGGTCGATTCAAATTTCTCCAATTTTTCTTGTACTGCAGCTTCTTTGGTACATTCTTCTTAAATGACCGGTTCGGTAAATTGCGTAAGGCATCGGGACCAATTTGTTGACCTCGCACCGCCAGTCGATCATTCACGTGATCTAACCGGTTCTGTAGCCACATCGGTAACTTTTCCGCCATTGCTGCGCCTGTAATACAATTGTCTAGTATGTTATTCAAGCTATAGAGAGAGACCTAATGCAATCATAAAAAGTGGGGGTCGTGGTACTCGTTTTCAAGCTACAGCTGTTGGAATAATTCGAGCAAAGTTCAAGGCATACTATGATTTCACTATTTTTTTTCGTTTTTCCGTCAACTCTTATCGACATAATAATAAATGTATAACGTTTTAAAAAAATTTTAAAGATCAATAATGATAGTTCATAGCGATTTTTGAAAAAATCGAATTTCGAACTTTATGGTAATTGAAGAAATACATCACACGCTATGAAATAGCACAATAAATCAATAGGGCACGAATTATTTACAAATATTTACAGCACCCCGCGACTAGTGTCGATTAAATAAAAAATCGGGCATAGGTTCCCCTGCGGCTTGCGCCTTTTCGATTCGCCAAAAGGCCCAAGCCGCAGAGTTATCCCTGTCCCGATTAAAAAATCGGGCATAGGTTCCCCTGCGGCTTGCGCCTTTTCGATTCGCCAAAAGGCCCAAGCCGCAGAGTTATCCCTGTCCCGATTAAAAAATCGGGCATAGGTTCCCCTGCGGCTTGCGCCTTTTGAAAGGTCCCCAGGAAAGTCGCAAATCGCCGAGTTATCCCTGTCCCGATTAAAAAATCGGTGACAGGTTCCTCGGCGATGTGCGACTTTCCCCTCCCCCCGGGATCCCAACCCCTTGAAAAAAACCCACCCCCCTTAAAAAAAAAAAAAAACCAGTACGACGAGGAAGTTTCCTCCCTCGAAACCTGGCAAAAAAAAAAAAAAAAAAAAAAAAAAACCAGTACGACGAGGGAGTTTTCTCCCTCGAAACCTGGCAAGCATGCAAATATAAAATGTATAAATACATGTATAGTGCAGGGGTCGCGAACCGTAGGAACAATCACGTTTCCCGACGGATCCTACAACGTGATTGTTGCATGTCAGAAATATGCAAGCCAAATGATGTGTGAATCCGCCTTCGCTTCGGCCGAAACCGATCCAGCGGCTCTACACATCATCCCCGGTGACCTCTTCCAACCGATAAGGGAAATCTGCACCCGGGCTCGTCAGAGTCACCGGGCTCAACCCTATATCTCGGGATCGAAGGCCCAGTCACCGGCCGACTCAGCATATCCCTGACACACGGGATCCTCTTTTTTTTTATATAATTAATAATACAATTATACTCACCGAGGAACTGCTGCTGCTACTGTTGCTGCTGCTGCTACTGCTGCTGCTACTGCTGCTGCTGCTGCTGCCCGTGCTGCTGCTGCTGCTGCTGCTCCTCCTCCTGCTACCGAACTCCAACGACGAAGAGAACCTGAAAAATAAAAAAGAGAGATTAAATAAAATGTGAAATTTGATGGATGCATTCGTTAATCGACGCACTGTATTGGAAGCCTAGTGCAGCACAGTGAAGTTGAGTAAACTTACTTTCAAAGTGCTGCACTAGGCTTCCAATGCAGTGCGTCGATTAACGAATGCAACCGACAAATTTGACATTCAAAGTTTCCTTACTGTTCAAATCTACTGGGGATGTTGATCTTGAGAATGTATAATCTGAAAAATAAAAAGTTGTTGATGTCGGTCGACGTATAAATATAAATTATCCAAAGGTAATGTACATGGAAATTGTGCATCAGAACCAATGTCACCGTTGGATCACGTCATATCAAAAAATATACTCGAGAAAATTAAAGTCCAAATATCTCGCGATGAAAGTGAGATAGAGCAAAACTAACGATTTTTGCGGGTTTCTAAGGGAAAAAATAATCACCTGGCGTTTCAGAAAATAGTAATACTTGTATATTTCTTTCGAAATTTGCAACTCTGAAAATTTTGTGAGAGCGCTCTTATGATAGTCGTGTTCAACAGTAGGTATGATGTAGTGGTCACAAAATTTTCGGACTTGCAAATTCCGTGAGAAATATACAAGTAGTACTATTTTCTTGAACGCCAAGTGATTATTTTTTCCCTTAGAAACCCGCAAAAATCGTTAGTTTAGCTCTATCTCACTTGCATCGCGAGATATTTGGACTTTAATTTTCTTGAGTATATTTTTTGGTATTACGTGATCCAACAGTGACATTGGTTCTGTTGCACAATTTACATGTACATTACCTTTGGATAATTTATATTTATCAAGAGTCGCGGCAGCCACCTGTGGCATTAATGCCGATGGTGCTGACTACCTATATACGTTGAATTCAAAATGCACCGAGACAACCTGCAGCTTTATTAGAAAAATACATGCAAATTTTCGTATTAGTTAATTCTTAACGCTTTAATTAAACATAAACTTGCTCAAAATTACGAAATCACGCTTGCAAAAAACTTGTTAACGTTATTTTTCATAATCTTTTTCGTGAGGTGGTCAGAATCTTTTTTCTTTTCCAGTGTTCAACATTTTCTATTGCGCATGCGCGAGCCTTCAGCAGCCGCTCATGTATAAGCGCATCAGCTGAGATATCTAAGCAGTTGAACTATAATTCACACTGAGCCTTATAAGAGAATATAAAATTTATCTTTATCGATACTGTATTGATTGATAGTAAATTGCAATCGAGAAATAATATATATAATAGCTTACGTTGAAATCAGTGAAATCTGACAAAAAAAACTTTCAACGAAGTAAAAAGGTTGCACGAAAGCTTTGTGTAGTCTCAACTGCTTTTATCAAAATAATCAACCAATTTTATGAACAAATGTAATTAATTAATACGTTGTAAGATTAAAGTATGATTGCTGAATTATTTTTGTAAAATATGTTTGGTATGCACATTCTTGTCGTTTTTAAAATAGATCTCAGTAATTTCAAAACTTCAAAAACGACTTGCATAAAATTGGTTGATTATTTCGATAAAAGCAGTTGAGACTACACATAAAACATTCGTGCAACTTTTTACTTCGTGGAAATTTTTTTTTGTCAGATACGTCGACTGACAGCAACAACTTTTTATTTTTCAGATTCTAGATTCTCTAGATTATCATCATCCCCAGCAGACTATCAAAGTAAGGAAACTTTGATAGTCAAATTTGTCGGTTGCATTTGTTAATCGACGCACTGCATTGGAAGCCTAGTGCAGCACTTTGAAAGTAAGTTTACTTACCTTCACTGTGCTGCACTAGGCTTCCAATATAGTGCGTCGCTTAACGAATGCATCCATCAAATTTCACATTTCATTTAATCTCTTTTTTTTATTTTTCAGGTTTTCAGCAGCAGCAGCAGCAGCAGCAGCAGCAGCAGCAGCAGCAGCAGCAGCAGCAGTAGCAGCAGCAGCAACAGTAGCAGCAGCAGTTCCTCGGTGAGTATAATTGTATTATTAATTATATAAAAAAAAAGAGGATCCCGTGTGTCAGGGATATGCTGAGTCGGCCGGTGACTGGGCCTTCGATCCCGAGATATAGGGTTGAGCCCGGTGACTCTGACGAGCCCGGGTGCAGATTTCCCTTATCGGTTGGAAGAGGTCACCGGGGATGATGTGTAGAGCCGCTGGATCGGTTTCGGCCGAAGCGAAGGCGGATTCACACATCATTTGGCTTGCATATTTCTGACATGCAACAATCACGTTGTAGGATCCGTCGGGAAACGTGATTGTTCCTACGGTTCGCGACCCCTGCACTATACATGTATTTATACATTTTATATTTGCATGCTTGCCAGGTTTCGAGGGAGAAAACTCCCTCGTCGTACTGGTTTTTTTTTTTTTTTTTTTTTTTTTTGCCAGGTTTCGAGGGAGGAAACTTCCTCGTCGTACTGGTTTTTTTTTTTTTTTAAGGGGGGTGGGTTTTTTTCAAGGGGTTGGGATCCCGGGGGGAGGGGAAAGTCGCACATCGCCGAGGAACCTGTCACCGATTTTTTAATCGGGACAGGGATAACTCGGCGATTTGCGACTTTCCTGGGGACCTTTCAAAAGGCGCAAGCCGCAGGGGAACCTATGCCCGATTTTTTAATCGGGACAGGGATAACTCTGCGGCTTGGGCCTTTTGGCGAATCGAAAAGGCGCAAGCCGCAGGGGAACCTATGCCCGATTTTTTATTTAATCGACACTAGTCGCGGGGTGCTGTAAATATTTGTAAATAATTCGTGCCCTATTGATTTATTGTGCTATTTCATAGCGTGTGATGTATTTCTTCAATTACCATAAAGTTCGAAATTCGATTTTTTCAAAAATCGCTATGAACTATCATTATTGATCTTTAAAATTTTTTTAAAACGTTATACATTTATTATTATGTCGATAAGAGTTGACGGAAAAACGAAAAAAAAATAGTGAAATCATAGTATGCCATGAACTTTGCTCGAATTATTCCAACAGCTGTAGCTTGAAAATGAGTACCACGACCCCCACTTTTTATGATTGCATTAGGTTTCTCTCTATAGCTTGAAGAACACTGGTTTTTAAAAAAATATTCCAAGATAATTGTATTTTAAAAAACTCATAAAACGTAATATGGAAGTGAGGTTAGCCTATCTAACTTGCGTTGAAGTATCAAGCTTTGAACTTTAATATGTTAAAATTTAGCACCGCTAACTGTTTTCTATTTTACCAATTAGTATCACTACCGTTTAACTTGAAGCAAATAAATGAATAATCCATAACATATCTTTCAGCATAAAGTTTCCCAAGCGTGACCTGGCAGAGGAGCGTTGCAATAATGGCTACTGAGCTAATGCAAGAAATGATAGGTAATTGAAAATTTCCTGATTCGGCATACCAAATATAATCCGCTTGTATTTTGATAATTTTTTTCCATAAATTTCCCTTCAATTCTTATTATAAAATCATCTATAGACAACGAGGTAGCGGCGCTTCATCGTCAGCTAGGAGGTGACCAAACCGCAGGAAGCGGCAATGATGACATGTACGGACCTGCGCTAGTCATCAATACTCTGAAAAAGCGATACGATTACATGCTCAACCACGCAGACTTGGTTTTGCTTTTACCATTCTACAATCTGAAGAAGAACGATGACGATTGTATAGAGGTTATAGGTGACCCTGAGGTTTTGCGACAAAGGTTGCGACAACATGTGCGCCATGAAATTGGCACACTTGTTTTAATCCTGCATCAACCACCCATTCACTGGGCAACATTGGTCGTGTGCAATAGATCAATTGGATTCTTTGCAGACAGTGTCAATAAAAAAGTGCATGAACAATACAAAGCTGTTCTTAAACAGTTTCGTAATACAATTAGGATCAGAGTCACTAGTCAACTGCAGCAAGCAGATGATGATGGGGTAAATTGTGGATTTTGGGCCTTGCAAAATGCCCAAACAATTCGAAGTTGGATCGCTGACAATGACAGATGCATTGTAGAGACGCAAGCACCTATATTATTACATGTAGAACAAGATAGATCATGCGATCACTTTGTACAGCTACGGGAAAAGATGATGGCTCAAGTTATTGCTCATTACAAACTCAAGTCAGTATTCGTCGTACTTGATAACCCATTTGCTCGTACACATTGATATAATTCGTTTGTTTTATTTTCTAGTGTCGCAAATTTACAAATGGCGATGAACGAAACATCAGCTGTCCAATCATCATGCAAACAAACAAATATCGACGTTTGTGAGGTAATTTTCAAATATAATTGTGATATATTATGTGTAAAATATACCTCGTCGAATATTCCGCAGGCTGAGTCGTTGATGGATGTTGATGACGATATGGAGCAAGTACCAACTGAATTGTTCTCGACACGGTACAAAATAGGTTTGATTTTACATTGGTTGATTTTCATGTATTCAGCATTTGCCTGTAATTTTCAGCGTACGAGATCAAGAGCAATCCGAAAAAATTGATTCCCGTTTCACAGTCATCGATTATAAAACTCTGAAAGCAGATATAAAAGCAGGCCGAAGAGTTGTTTCACAGGATACCGACAGTTTGTTAATTATTTCAACGAAATGTGAGACGTTTACTGGTGGTAACGGAAGACTCGATTATCCTTTGAAATGTTTGTTTCCGTTGCCTGAAAAAAATGAAAAACTTATTTCGATCTTGATGGAGAAACAAAAAATCATTTGTAACGATGATTATCGGTGGTCCGTGATGCGATTCGGGAATTACGGCGTGAAATCGGTGTACTTCACCTTCTACCATCCCAAAAACATGCCCATAAGATTTTTTCGCAAACAATTCAGCAATGAAATTGTGAAAACTGCGCTGAACCAATGTCTGTTACCTAGTGACGAGACCTCAACGCAACAGTCACTTGACTTCAATGAGCATGGCGAAGGGTCCATAAGGTTCTACA